CATGCCCATTACACATGTCACTTTTAACGTACAAGGACTTTTCCTTTTCATCATAGCAAATGCTTACTTAAGGTTTTAGTCTTATAATGATATCGAACTATCAATATTTTCTTCTGTTTGATTATAAATGGTCCAAATATACATCACGTCAACATTGAACGTACTCGTATTTGAATGAAGTGTGATATATAAGCTACGACCGTAAAACCACCTCCTTGACTGTAAAACCAGAAACAAAATCATTGCCTTAAAATGAATATGAAGTATATAATACCTCTAAGATTAAAACAATATTTTTGTCGAGAAAAAAATTGCAATGAAAAATTTCAATTCGGGTACAAGGTTTGAACTTGGCACTGCTAATATCACAGTTGTGTCTTTTGATACCAACGACTAGACGATCACGGCTATGAACAGCTTGAATGTAATAGTAAAAAATTGACATAATTATACATTGTACATCTGTAGCACGAGCAATTCTGCTGGAGATTTAGAATGCGTACCACAGAAAATACTAGTTTATTGACTGGTTTGCCAAATGTAATAACGTTAAAATAATCTAAACTTAATGACAGGGAAACAGTTTAAACAAAATACATGTATAATTTTCAAAAAAGACCTTCAGCAATTATTTTATTTATTTCGGAAACATCATTTACTGGAGCATCATAAAATTGTAGTATTATGGCAACTACACTAAATACATGTACTTGACTTAATACGGTTAAATTGCAGGCAATCCTTAATCAGCTGTAAAGAATCATAGATTGCTAAATACTATATATGTAAATTTGTAAGGTTTCTAAAGTTTGGTAATTAGATTTTTTTAACTATTCAAAAAAAGATTAAAAAATTCTGTATATTTACATATGTCGTTTTGAATAAATCATAAATACCAAAATCTATATAATTTAAATACTTTGTAATGATAAAACATTAAATGAAATATAAATATACAAGTATTAAATCTGGTAATAAAAAGGGGAGCTAACAACCCATTTAAGTTATATCAAACTTATGTTAACTTAAAGATAGACGTGAACCGTGTGGATATAATCACTTCCAGCTATTATAGAATAAAAAAGACAAAATACGAAATCATTTTTATGAAATTCCGTTGATTCATTGTCAAAACATAAAACAGACAGTCTTTTTACTAGAAATGGGTTAAGCTAGAGAATTGATAAGAAGTAGTGGATTCGTAAACGATAATCAACTTGCGACTAAAGTCGCTCGTTGATTATCGTTTACGAATCCACTACTTCTTATCAATTCTCTACTACATAATGTTTGGTTGGGGCAAACTTAAGTTACAGAATGGAAACAAAAAATTTTGCAATCTTTCGATTTATAAAGGGGCATAACTCAATAATGGTTAAAGTGACACTACCCAAATTCAACTTGATCTGTGTTTTATCAGTGGAAGTCAAAATTAAACATTGCATTGTATAAAGCATTGATTGTAGTTGATTCAACTATAATCATGGACAAAGGAAGATAACTCCAATTTTAATAAACTGCTTCGCTGAGCGCAGCTGGATACGCCCGCAGAGGTCCAACCCTGAACAGTTGGGGCAAAAATGGACACAATATTCAAGCTTGATACAGGTCTGAATTTGAATTGTAATTAAATATTTGACATATTATAGGTTTCTGAATAAATGTAGTCAAAGAACTTGAAATTGGTGATATGAATTGAATTTATATTCAATTAAAGATGTCTTGCTGTTGTGCAATACACTATGTTGTTGCGCAATACTTAGTAAATCTGTTGTCAGACTATAAACAAATAAAATTTATAAAATTCTAAAGGGAGCTTACATCAATAGATATAATCAATTCACCAAAGTTTCATAAGAATTGCTGAAAGCATTTTTGAGTTATTGTCTGAAAACTGGAAAATCCCCCCTTTTTTAATGAATAAAACCCTATAACTCGGAAATGTAAAATCTAAAATTCATACAATTCTAAAGGGAGCTTACATCAATAGATATCAACAATTCATCAAAGTTTCATGAGAACTGCTGGAAGCATTTTTGAGTTATTATCCGAAAACTGGAAAATCCCCCTTTTTTTTATGAATAAAACCCTGTAACTTGGAAACATAAAATCTAAAATTTATAAAAATCAAAAGGAAGCTCATGTCAATAGATAAAAACAATTAACCAAAATTTCTTGCAAGTTGGTGAAAGCATTCTTGAGTTATTGTCCGAAAACTGGAAAATCCTCCTTTTTTTAATGAATAAAACCCCATAACTTTGAAACGTAAAATCTAAAATTTATAAAAAACGAAAAGGAGCTTACGTCAATAGATATAAACAATTCACCAAAGTTTTATGCAAATTGGTTAAAGCGTTTTTGAGTTAATGTCTGACATGTTGACGACGGACGGACAGATGGACAGACGGACGGACGGACAAACGGACAACGGTATTCGATAATACGTCCCGTAAACGGGCGTATAAAAATTGCTTGATATTTAGAAGAAAATAAAAATTTTACAATTTTTCCATTTATAAAGGGGCATAACTCTAGAACGGTTAAAGTGACGCCATCAAAATTCAACTTGATCTGTCTTTTGTGGTAATAAGCATTGTGTATAAGTTTCATAACATTTGGTTGAGGCAAACTTAAGTTAGAAAACGGAAACTAAATATTTTGCAATTTTTCCATTTATAAAGGGGCATAACTCTAGAACGGTTAAAGTGACGCCATCAAAATTCAAACTTGATCTGTGTTAAGCATTGTGTATAAGTTTCATAACATTTAGTTGAGGCAAACTCAAGTTAGAGAACTGAAACCAATTTTTGGACGTATGTATAGACGGACAAGGGTAAAACTTAATGCCCCCTCCGCTACGGCGGGGGCATAAATATACATTGTACCCTTACATCCAATCACAGCCCTTCTAAGTTGACTTCCTTCACCTGCCTTGGGTACGCAAAAGGCCAACCTAAAGCCGGGAAAATGTAATACTACTTTTTTTTCCCTATATCTGTTAACCCAATCCCCATCCTCCTATATCTGTATACCCCATCTATACCCTCCTTTATATGTATAACCAATTCACTCCCTTCTTTATCTCTATACCCCATCCCACCCTCCTATATCTGTATTACCCATCCACTCTCTCCTATATCTGTATACCCCATCCACACCCTCCTGTATATATATATACCCTACCTATACCCTCCTATATCTGCCAAATCCACACCCTCCTGTATCTGTATTACCCATCCAAAACCTCCTTTATCTGTATACCCCATTCTCACCCTCCTATATCTGTATACCCCATCCCATCCTCCTATATCTATATACCTCATCCAAACCCTCCTATATCTGTATTACCAATCCACATCCTCCTATATCTGTTTACCCAATCCACACCCTTCCATATCTGTATTACCCATCCACTCTCTCCTATATCTATATTATATACCCCATCTATACCCTCCTATATCTGTATACCCAATCTCCATCCTCATATATCTGTATACCCCATCTATACTGTCCTATATCTGTATATCCACTCCCCATCCTCCTATATCTGTATACCCCATCCACACCCTCCTATATCTGTATACCCCATCCACACCCTCCTGTCTGTAAACCCCAACCACACCCTCCTATATCTGTATACCCAATCCACACCTTCCTATATATGTATACCCCATCCACACCCTCCTATATCTGTTTTACCCATCCACTCTCTCCTTTATTTGTATACCCCATCCACACCCTCCTATATCTGATTTACCCATCCACTCTTTCCTTTATTTGTATACACCATCCACACCCTCCTATATCTGTAAACCCCATCCACACCCTCCAATATCTGTATTCCCCATCCACACCGTCCTATATCTATATACCCCATCCACACCATCCTCATATATCTGTATACCCCATCTATACCCTCCTATACCTGTATACCCAATCCCCATCCTCCTATATATATATACCCAATCTATACCCTCCGATATCTGCAGTATACCCAATTCCCATCCTCATATATCTGTATACCCCATCCAAACCCTCTTTTATCTGTATACCCAATCCACACCCTCCTATATCTGTTTACACCCTCCACACCCTCCTATATCTATATACCCCATCCACACCCTCCTATATCTGTATACCCCATCCACATCCTCCTATATCTGTATACCACTTCTACATCCTCCTATATCTGTATTTTCCATCCACACCCTCCTATATCTGTATACCCCATCTATACCCTCCTATATCTGTATTCTCCTCCACACCCTCCTATATCTGAATACCCCATCCTCACCCTCCTTTATCTGTATACTAAATCCACACCTTCCTATATCTGTATACACCCTCCACACCCTCCTATATCTGTATACCCCATTTAAACCCTCCTATATCTGTATACTAAATCCACACCCTCCTATATCTGTATACACCCTCCACACCCTCCTATATCTATCTACCCCATCCACACCCTCCTATATCTGTTTACCCCATCCACACCCTCCTATATCTGTATACCCCATCCACACCCTCCTTTTTCTGTATACCCCATCCACACCCTCCTATATCTGTATACCCCATCCACACCCTTCTATATCTGTATACCCCATCCACACTCTCCCCTTACTGTATACCCCATCTATTCCCTCCTATATATGTATACCCCACCCACACCCCTCCTATATCTGTATACCCCATCCACACCCTCCTATGTCTATTTACCCCATCCACACCCTCCTATATCTGTATACCCCATCCAACCCCTATTATATCTATATACCCCATCCACACCCTCCTATATCTGCATACCCCATCCACACCCTCCTATATCTGCATACCCCATCCACACCCTCCTATAAAACTTTTTTCATATTTTAAGTTCAATTCAAATGATCATATGACTTACACTATAGTCTTGAAAAAAACCATTTGACCAAACATACATAATTTTAGTGATTCATTACTTAATAGTCAAACACTTGGTATATACTATAAAATATTACCTCATGTGTTGTAACCAAGGGACTGGCACCTCCTTCTACTAGACATCTTGTGGTCTGTAGATATCCCCTCCCAGCAGCATAATGTAAAGCTGTGTATCCAGTGGATGCTGTTCTGCTTGAGTGACTTACCTTACAAAAAGGCGGACACTTTAAAGATTAAAAGGACTTAACATCAGTTTGATTTCGTTTAATGGGGGCGTGACTAAATAGTTTGACACAGCTTAACCACATCTGAAACTAATATGAATGACCGCAAAGGAATCTATTTGACTGGCATTAAAATAATTTGATAGGGATTGAAATGCATTAAAAACAATTTTTGTCAATCGTTATCTAATGTGAATTAATCATTTTTAAAGAGCGTTAATGCCGATCAAGCTAAATTCGGGTTACTAGTACTATATCAGAATACCCCATACACATCCTCCAATATCTGTATACCCCTCTACACCCTCCATTATCTGTAAACCCCCTCCACACCCTCCTATATCTATATACCCCATCCACACCCTCCTATATCTGTATACCCCATCCACACCCTCCTATATCTGTATACCCCCTCCACACCCTCGAATATCTGTATATCCCATCCACACCCTCCTATATTTGTATACACCATCCACACCCTCCTATATCTGTATACCCCCTCTATACCCTCCTATATCTGTATACCCTATCCACATCCACCTATATATATATACCCCATACACATCCTCCAACATCTGTATACCCCCTCCACACTCTCCTATATCTATGTACCCCATCCACACTCTCCTATATCTGTTTACCCCATCCACATCCTCCTTTATCTGTATACCCCATCCACACCCTCCTATATCTGTATACCCCATCCACACCCTCCTATATCTGTATACCCCATCCACACCCTATTATATCTATATACCCCATCCACACCCTCCTATAAAACTTTTTTCATATTTTAAGTTCAATTCAAATGATCATATGACTTACGCTATAGTCTTGAAAAAAAACCATTTGACCAACCATATATCATTTTAGTGATTCATTACTTAATAGTTAAACACTGGGTATATACTATAAAATATTACCTCTTGTGTTGTAACCAAGGGACTGGCACCTCCTTGTTCTACTAGATATCTTGTGATCTGTAGATGTCCCCACAGAGCAGCCATATGTAAAGCTGTGTAGCCAAGGATCTATAATATAACCAAATAACATGTAAATATTATGGACAATACTTTTTTATCAATATCAATAATATACAAATATATTTGTTCATTGAACTGTCTAATTAACAACATGATTTTGTGTTGATTAATAGTAATGTGATCAGACTAAGTAGATAACATACATGTGTGGTGTCGATCTTACATCCTGTACCAATGAGCAGTTGACAGACCTCCAGGTGTCCTTCCCCGGCAGCAAACATTAATGCTGTCTCTCCATACTCCTGGAATAATACAACTGACATTAAAACTTGTCTGATAAACTGGACAATGTTGTGTAATAAATATAAACAAAATATATATCACATGAATCAGTGGTCAAAACTCAATAAAATGACCAGTCACACTTGTATTTATATTCTATATAAACAATAAAATAACATGTTTTGTTGTGAAATGTCAAAACTTCCATTAAACCTGATATCTTAAAAAAAAAAAAAAAATTTCAAGAAATGTGTAAAATAATTATATCAATGGATTCAGTAGAACAAAACAAGTAAAATGAGACCCCACTTTATATGATTCTTACAAATATTTGTTCATTAAAACAGTCTAATTAACAACAGGATTTAGTGTAGATTCAGTATTATTATTCATTTTAATAAAATAATTTTTTTAAAGAAACATGAAAAGGAGTAATATTTTCTGATTCAGAACAATAATATGAGTAAAATGAGACCCCACTTGATATAATTATTACACATATTTGTTCATTAAGCCTGTCTGATTAACAACATGATTTAGTGTTGATTAATAGTAATGTGATCAGACTAAGTAGATAACATACTGATGTGGTGTCGATCTTACATCCTGTATCAATGAGAAGTCTACAGATCTCCATGTGTCCTTCCCTGGCAGCAAACATTAATGCTGTCCGTTCACCAACCTGGAATAATACAAGTGACATCAAAACTTGTCTGATAAACTGGACAATGTTGTGTAATAAATATAAACAAAATATATATCACATGAATCAGTGGTCAAAACTCAATAAAATGACCAGTCACACTTGTATTTATATTCTATATAAACAATAAAATAACATGTTTTGTTGTGAAATGTCAAAACTTCCATTAAACCTGATATCTTAAAAAAAATAATTTTTTTCAAGAAATGTGTAAAATAATTATATCAATGGATTCAGTAGAACAAAACAAGTAAAATGAGACCCCACTTTATATGATTCTTACACATATTTGTTCATTAAAACAGTCTAATTAACAACAGGATTTAGTGTAGATTCAGTATTATTATTCATTTTAATAAAATAATTTTTTTAAAGAAACATGAAAAGGAGTAATATTTTCTGATTCAGAACAATAATATGAGTAAAATGAGACCCCACTTGATATAATTATTACACATATTTGTTCATTAGGCCTGTCTGATTAACAACATGATTTAGTGTTGATTAATAGTAATGTGATCAGACTAAGTAGATAACATACTGATGTGGTGTCGATCTTACATCCTGTATCAATGAGAAGTCTACAGATCTCCATGTGTCCTTCCCTGGCAGCAAACATTAATGCTGTCAATCCATCTCTCTGGAATAATACAACTGACATCAAAACTTGTCTGATAAACTGGACAATGTTGTGTTATAAATATAAACAAAATATATATCACATGAATCAGTGGTCAAAACTGAATAAAATGACCAGTCACACTTGTATTTATATTCTATATAAACAATAAAATAACATGTTTTGTTGTGAAATGTCAAAACTTCCATTAAACCTGATATCTTAAAAAAAAATTTTTTTCAAGAAATGTGTAAAATAGTTTTATCAATGGATTCAGTAGAACAAAACAAGTAAAATGAGACCCCACTTGATATAATTATTACAAATATTTGTTCATTAAACCTGTCTAATTAACAACATGATTTAGTGTTGATTAATAGTAATGTGATCAGACTAAGTAGATAACATACTGTATCTGTGGTGTAGATCTTACATCCTGTATCAATGAGAAGTTGACAGATCTCGAGGTGTCCTCCCCAGGCAGCCAACATTAATACTGTCCATCCATCTCTCTGGAATAATACAACTAACATCAAAACTTGTTTGATAAACTGGACAATGTTGTGTAATAAATATAAACAAAATATATATCACATAAATCAGTGGTCAAAACTGAATAAAATGACCAGTGACACTTGTATTTATATTGTACATAAACAACAATTAAACAACATGTTTTTTTTGAGATGTCAAAACTTCCATCAGAACTGTCATGTTAAAAACAATATTTTTTGAGGAAATGAAATAAAATATTTACATCAATGGATTCATTACAACTTTCTGAGTAAAATGACATCTCACTTTATATAATCCTAACAAGTATTTGTTGATATAAGGATTAAATCTGTCTGATTAACATGATTCAGAATAATGATCAATTTTTTTATAAAGTAACTTTTTCAAATATGAAAAAAAATTGAATTTCCTGATTAAGTTTGAAAAAACGAGCAAAATGAGACCTCACTTTATATAATTCTTACAAATATTTGTTGTCCATTAAACCTGTGTAATTAACAACATAACTTTGTATAGATGAAGGAATGTGGTCAAAGTGAAGATTAACATACATATGTGATATTTGTTTTACAACCGCTGTAAAACCTTGGTGTAAAACATATTCTTGTTAATATTCAAACTAAGAACTTTATCAACTATAATTCAAAACAAACAAAAATAATTATTTAAAAAAAATACCTTTATGCATTTTTTTTTCCTCACTAAAACTGTTTAATTAAAAACAGATTTTGATTTAATATCGAATTCAGTATGATGATATAAATTTCAGTTTCCATACAGATATAGTATTATATTATGTTCTGAAGTAACTTGTAGTTATGTGTTTTATACTGCTTATGTACAATCTGTTATGTGCTGAAGTAACTTGTAGTTGTGTGTTTTATACTGTTTATGTACAATCTGTTATGTGCTGAAGTAACTTGTAGTTGTGTGTTTTATACTGCTTATGTACAATCTGTTATGTTCTGAAGTAACTTGTAGTTATGTGTTTTATACTGCTTATGTACAATCTGTTTTGTTCTGAAGTAACTTGTAGTTGTGTGTTTTATACTGTTTATGTACAATTTGTTATGTGCTGAAGTAAATTGTAGTTGTGTGTTTTTAACTACTTGTGTACAATCTGAAATGTTCTGAAGTAACTTGTAGTTGTGTGTTTTATACTACATGTACTTATGAACAATCTATTATGTGCTGAAGTAACTTGTAGTTGTATGTTTTATACTGCTTATGTACAATCTGTTATGTTCTAAAAAAAACTTGCAGTTGTGTGTTTTATACTGCTTATGTACAATCTGTTATGTTCTAAAATAACTTGCAGTTGTGTGTTTTATACTGCTTATGTACAATCTGTTATGTTTTGAAATAATTTGTAGTTGTGTGTTTTATACTGATTTAAGTACAATCTGTTATGTTCTGAAGTAACTTGTAGTTGTGTGTTTTGTACTGCTTATGTACAATCTGTGATGTTCTAAAATAACTTGTAGTTGTGTGTTTTATACTGCTTATGTACAATCTGTTATGTTCTTAAATAACTTGCAGTTGTGTTTTTTATACTGCTTATGTACTATCTGTTATGTTTTGAAATAACTTGTAGTTAGGTGTTTTATACTGATTTAAGTACAATCTTTTATGTTCTGAAGTAACTTGTAGTTGTGTGTTTTGTACTGCTTATGTACAAGCTGCTTTGTTCTAAAGTAACTTGTTTTTGTATGTTTTATACTGCTTTTAAACAATCTGTAATGTTCTGAAGTAACTTGTAGTTGTGTGTTTTATACTGCTTATGTACAATCTGTTATGTTCTGAAGTAACATGTAGTTGTGTGTTTTATACTGCTTATGTACAATCTTTTATGTTCTGAAGTTACTTGTAGTTGTGTGTTTTGTACTGCTTATGTACAATCTGTTATGTTCTGAAGTTACTTGTAGTTGTGTGTTTTATACTGCTTATGTATAATCTGTTATGTTCTGAAGTTACTTGTAGTTGTGTTTTATACTGCTTATCTACAATCTGTTATGTGCTGAAGAAATTGTAGTTGTGTGTTTTATACTGTTTATGTACAATCTATTATGTTCTGAAGTAACTTGTAGTTGTGTGTTTTATACTGCTTATGTACAATCTGTTATGTTCTGAAGTAATTTGTAGTTGTATGTTTTTAACTA